CGAAGGCTTTTGTAGTCTTTGTATACTACATTTGCATTATGTTTGTCCTGCAGTGCATCTAAGACCATGTCATAGTTGTGAAAGGCAGGAGCGACCTGCTCTAAACCTATGCTGCCCTGGGTTGTGCAATTGTTGGGAATCCATTAGGTTGGTTATCTTGCTTCTTATAGAACCTTTTCAAAGATTTTTTTTTTTAATGTGGGACGTTTGTGTTATCGTTCTACAATTCTTTGCTTTAGCTTTGCTGCCATCTTTGTGAATTGGGGCTGCATCCGTTGTTTTTAGCGACTGTAGGATAACCCCCGTGTCTAAGCTCCTACTCCATAAAATACTTAAGGCACACAATATGGATTTCTTGCAGTTCTTGATGAACACAGAGTTACACGAGTCTAGGCTCGGGGCAGAGGGCATGGCCATATTATCGATAGGTACGAGGAGAGAAACTTTTATAGTAGAGCCAATGGAAGAAGTGGAGCAATGCAGCGATAGTAAACGCTGTGACCTGTAGGCGGGGCCCACATGTGACAACTTTATCCTGGGGTAGGGCAGGGCTGGGGTGTTGGTGTCTGGCTCTGCTGAGGTTTATACAAAGGGAGGGGAGAGGATGTTCCACCTAACCTCCTTGGGAATTTTGTATTCTCACTTCTTTTTTGAAGGAAACTTGTTTCCTCCCCATTATCTGCCCAGATATGGGCAAAAATATCTCCAAAAATAACAATATGAACAAAAAATAATTGCATATTCCAATTGTACGTAAGTTACATGTATTATAAAATGTAAACTATTGCCTGAGTTCCGTCGAGTAGTAATCAGAAACTATCAGTTGTTTTTTGTTCAAAATTTTATTTTGGACATTATGCAAAATAACGTATTTTTTGGAGGGACAAGCGGCATGATAGAGCTGATCAATAGTTAGTATTAAGTAAACAAAGGAGCGCCAGCCCGATATCTACCGCTGGCAGAGTAAGGTAAAGTCACTTACTTTTCTGGGTTATTCTGGTGGGTAATTTACACACATGTCAAACTATGTTTGATAATTGTATTTATGTATAACTGTACCTAAATAAACTCACTAGATAAGGTTACGTTTCTACCATGTCGTAGCTTGGTTGTTAGCGTCCCTTAGCTTACACAATGAGGATTCGGGATCGATCCCTGGCACGAATGAAGCGTTGGGCATGTTTCCTTACACCTGTTCATCTAACAGAAAGTAGGTGCCTGGGTGTTAGTCACCTACACCTGATGTCACTGTTCACCTAGCAGTAAGTAGGTACCCGGGTGTCAATCACCTTACACCTGCTCTCACTGTTCACCTAGCAGTAAACAGGTACCTGGGTGTCAGTCACCTTACACTTGCTCTCACTGTTCACCTAGCAGTAAATAGGTACCTGGATATCAGTAACCTTTCACCTGCTCTCACTGTTCACCTAGCAGTAAACAGGTACCTAGGTGTCAGTCACCTTACACCTGCTCACTGTTCACCTAGCAGTAATTAGGTACCTGGGTGTTAATCACATCCTGGGGGACAAGATTAATCAAAGTTGCCGGCAAAGTTCTGTAATAACCAGGGATTTCCTATATTATAAGGCAGTAATGTCAACTAGGTCTGTATCGGTTGTATTGTCTACTTTGTATAAATAAATCACACATTCCACTGCTGACCTTGCTACTGGCAAGTCTCAATCACTCTACCTCAAGAAGTATCTCTTCGATCCCCGTCGGAGAGGGGAATTTGTAACCTACACACCTTCGCCTTTACTCTTTCACGATGCTTTCGTATAGGGTAGAGTAAACCAGCCAGTGGAGTCATAAATGACTCCACCAAACTAGCCCTTGCTGCCGTTGTAAGGACCTGCCTGCAGGTCAAATTCATTGCAATCCACTCTTTGAAGGACTCCTTTATTGTCGTCTGTACTGACGACAATGAAGCTTCACAATTCATAGACGACACCGCAATGAAGACACTCAGTGACCGACAATTCAACGTATCTCCTTCACCTTTCCAGTTACGATAATAAATTTGTGAGTTAGGCATACACTGGGCGTCTACACTGCAAACTGAATTGTTTGCAATCCTAATGGCGCTAAAGCTAACCTATGACACTGAGCTTGACCCTATCATCATTACTGATTCTATGTCATCATTGAAGGCTCTTGACTCATATAATGACTCCAACAACATGCTCATTGGAGAAGCCAGGTATAGATACTCAAAAATTAGGGACAAAGGAATTAATGTACAATTGCTATGGATCCCATCACACATTGGATTACTCCTTCATGATAAAGTTGATATGTTAGCCAAGAAGAGTACCCAGGAGGAGAATGTAGAATATAACTTTGGTATAACTGTGTCTAGCATTAGGAATAATATTAGGAGAGAAGTAAATAATGAAAATGATTGTTATAGGAATGCAGTTAGAAGTCTGAGTAGATCTATAACCCACTATGATAACATGAACGTAGATAAGTATGTTTATGGAGCAACTTGCAATGTGAACAGACTGACTGGTGTTGTAGTGGCCAGGCTTAGGCTTGGTTACAAGTACTTCTGGCAGTTTGGGAGACACACAGATGATGATCAAACTAAATGTAAATTATGTGATCAGGTATATGGTCACTCTCTTGAACACTATGTGCTTAATTGTCCACTTATTGAGGAATACAGAGACAGACAGTATAATAACCTATGTGACATGTCAAGATATCTTATTAATGAAAATAAGATACCAGATATACTAAGCAAATTTCCTAAATTTGCTTGCAACAGATAAGTGAACTATAGATATGTAGATATAAATCCATATGTATTCCTGTTAACCCTTTGGGGCCTAGTTCCTAGGCCTTTTGTGTATCCATATGCTCTCGCGCTACCGTCCACAGGATGGATATGGGGTGCACAATAAACTAGCCACTTCGGTGGCAAAATCTAAAATCTAATCTTCCCAGCTGGGGAAACTTACTGTTTTTGCTACTCCAATCTACCTCAACTGCAAGGGTACTCATCATACCCTTGCAGCCAAATGCCCACTAAGGAAAGGAAGTGCTGTCTAAGAAAATCAAAGAAACTAAGAAAAGCAGCCCCAAATCGCCGACATATGCCGCCATAAAACCAGTCTGATACCAAGAAAATTCTTCAGGCTACATAACAGCCATCTCTATCCAGCACCTTCCTCTCTCCACTTCCGGACGCGGCTCCCTCCATGGTGCTGTATTGCATGGTGTATGCGCTTGCGAATGCAGCCAACCCAGGCACATTCAACACCACCATTAACGAACTATTCCGACTTAACAACATGCCTGCCTTCGTTTTCCCCGACTCCACACTTTTAGCTGACATCCTCAGTATGCTTCCTAACGTCGTTAAGGTCACTACTCCTGCTGACCTGTCTCCTACTGCCCAAGCAACTGTTCCTGCACCTTCCACACCACCACTCATGATGCCTCCACCACCGCCTCCCAACCTGATGTTACACCACCAGTATACCTCTCCACTGCTCCTGTCGACCCTCAGTCACCTGCTAGCATCATGGTAGACTCGTCTACTGAATACACGTCAGAAGTAGAATATAATGACGACTCTAGCACATGAGAAAGCCTTACCTTCTACACTGCTCCATCAAACGCTGACGTCATGACCTTTACTGAACTCTACAAAGACCTCGGTGCAGGAACTGTTAAGTTTGCCTGCGAACAGCTTCATCACTTCACACTCACCCAAATTTTGGAATTTCTCAAGCCTCTACGATTCACCTCTGGAAACAAGACAAAACTTTACCACCTCTCTAGGAGCAGCTTCAAGAAATTTGAGAATGGCTCTTCTACAAACCCGCCACCTTAATCACGTCAAATAACACCACGAGCATGCCTGCCTTGTCCTGCTAACCTGCCAAGACTGAAGACCTCCAACCTCCAGAAGATCGTTGCAACTGAGCCTACTCTTCCTGAGTCCAGTCTGTCCCACGATCGCCTAGTTGCTTAGTTAAGCTCTGGCACTTTCTCTACGACTGTGGACACTCCTCTCCAACGCTGTTCTTCGCCTGTTCCATCTTCCCAACTCACCCCACATGGAATCTTAAACTTTCTTGTCTTGTATAAATAAATAAACACAACTCGCGAAATATTTAAAAAAGTATTTTACTGATCATCTTAAATCAGAACCTGACCCCACTATTACCCATAAATAACTGTTAACGAGACAATGGCGCCATGGAATACGGTTAATGAGTTTTCGTTGACTATTAAAAAAAAAGTTTAAAAGGTTTGATATGAGGGACACCTGTTTGTACTACATATTTCATCTTGTGGGACATATCACGAAGTCTTCGACGATTTATTAATAACCTTTAATGTACATAACAGGTTGGATGAAGGAATAAAATATGTGAAACGTTTATGGAAGATTTGTTCACACATTTAATAAGTATTATAAATACTTAAAGAACATTATTACAAAATATCCGGTGATAAGGAGCTGACAGATGTGCGATGATGAATCAAGTTGAATATAACTTATTTATGATGCCAAGGGTAATAAACACTATAATACACCTCTCATTCTATTATATCATGTTTCTACCTCTATTTTTTTAATGTAATGTCTGGTGAAGTATATAAAGAGGGTTGCAGCAGTGAGATTTAAAAGAAGGTGCTTCATCTAACACTAATGATCTAAGAACGGGTTACGTTAATTATTTTATTACTTTCATGAACACCTTTATTAGATGTAGATCCACACTAACTAAGAAATACAATAATATTTAGTGATAAAACATTCTAAAACATATAAAGTAAGTATCATTTTAAAGGATAAATAGTCAAGAAGTGCACAGTATGTTTGTCACAATGTTTGACAGCACAGAATCAACAAGCACAACTCTCTTATTACATCAGTAACGCTTTTTTCGAGAAATAATAATGTACATTACTTAACGGTGCATCTATTGTGTGGCAGTAGCCAGTAAGTAGAAGAATAGTAGCATAGTTGTTGTATAATAACATCTAATAGTTGAGTGAGTGGAGGTGTGTGGAGGCCGGCGGCAGCACAGCTGGTGTCGTCACCTTCATCACACAATATTAACATCACTCTCTTAAAATGTTAGATTTTACCTCACTCCACCTCCTTCTTTCGCTTCTTACGGTAAGATAGCCCGTGTCTCCGCCTCATATGCATCTCACAATCACAGCCATTCGACAAACTTAAATACTGTAGTCACAAAAATAGTAAATGTGTGCGTGTGTGATGTGTTGAATGTTTGTAGGTAACCAAGTACACGTCACTTGTACCTGTCTAGTTATGTACTTTACCTGTCTACTTATGTACTTTACTCTATCTGTCTAGTTGTGTACTTTACTCTACCTGTCTAATTGTGTACTAATCACTATTCTACCTGCAGTTATGTAGTCCCTTCTACTCTCCCTGCAGAATTATGTACTTACCTCTGCTTTACCTGTCTAGTTGTGTACTAATCACTGCTATACCTGCAGTTATGTAGTTATCTCTACCTGCATAGTAATGTAGTCCCCTCTACTCTAACTACAGAGTTACGTAGTCCCCTCTACATGCATATTAATGTAGTCCCCTCTGCCTGCAAAGTAATGTAGTCCCCTCTACTTTACCTGCAAAGTTAGGTATTTACCTCTCCTCTACCTCTCTAGTTGTGTTCTTTACCTGCAGTTATGTATTTATCTCTTACCTGCATAGTAATATAGTCCTCTCTACCTGCAGTTATGTGGTCCCTTCTACTCTACCTGCATAGTTATTTAGTTACCTCTACTCTACCCACATAATCATGTAGTTACTCTACCTGCATAGATATGTAGTTTACTCTGCCTACATAAGTTATGTAGTCCCCTCTACCTGTCTAGTTATGTAGTCCCCTCTACCTGTCTAGTTATGTAGTCCCCTCTACCTGTCTAGTTATGTAGTCCCCTCTACCTGTCTAGTTATGTAGTCCCCTCTACCTGTCTAGTTATGTAGTCCCCTCTACCTGTCTAATTATGTAGTCCCCTCTACCTGTCTAGTTATGTAGTCCCCTCTACCTGTCTAATTATGTAGTCCCCTCTACTTTACCTGTCTAATTATGTAGTCCCCTCTACTTTACCTGTCTAGTTATGTAGTCCCTCTACTCTACCTGTAGAGTTATGTAGTCCCCTCTACTCTACCTGTAGAGTTATGTAGTCCCCTCTACTCTACCTTCAGTTATGTGGTTCCCTCTACTATCTGGCCCCTGATCCACCATGAGGCCTGGTCATGGACTGAGCTATGGGGGCATTGACCACTGAAACCCTCTCCAGGCATACCTGCAGAGTTATGTAGTTTAGTATACCTGCAGAGTTATGTAGTTTAGTATACCTGCAGAGTTATGTAGTTTAGTATACCTGCAGAGTTATGTAGTTTAGTATACCTGCAGAGTTATGTAGTTTACTATACCTGCAGAGTTATGTAGTTTACTATACCTGCAGAGTTATGTAGTCCTCTCTGCTCTACCTGTCAAGTTATATAGTTCCCTCAACCTGTAGACTTGTGTAGTCCCCTCTCCTTTACCTGTCTCGTTATGTAGTCCCCTCTCCTTTACCTGTCTCGTTATGTAGTCCCCTTACTTTACCTGTCTCGTTATGTAGTCCCTTCTTCTCTACCTGCAGAGTTATGTGGTTCCCTCTACTCTGCCTGTCAAGTTATGTAGTTCCCTCTACCTGTCAAATTATGTAGTTCCCTCTGCCTGTCAAGTTATGTAGTTCCCTCTACCTGTCAAGTTATATAGTTCCCTCTACTTGTCAAGTTATGTAGTTCCCTCTACCTGTCAAGTTATATAGTTCCCTCTACTTGTCAAGTTATGTAGTTCCCTCTACCTGTCAAGTTATGTAGTTCCCTCTACTTTACCTATCTAGTTATGTAGTTCCTTCTACTTTACCTGTCTAGTTATGTAGTTCCTTCTACTTTACCTATCTAGTTATGTAGCCCCTTCTACTCTACCTGTCAAGTTATGTAGTTCCTTCTACCTGCAGACTTGTATAGTCCCCTCTACTTTACCTGTTTAGTTATGTAGTCCTTTCTACTCTACCTGCAGAGTTATGTAGTCCTTTCTATTTTACCTGTCTAGTTATGTAGTCTCTCAACTCTACTTATATAATTATTTAGTCCCTATTACTCTATCTGTATAGTTATATAGTGCACTCTGCTCTACCTGCATAGTTATTTAGTCCCCTTTTACTTTCATAGTTATGTTGTCATCACATTTCCTGCAGAATTTGTTGCCATCTTTGCTCTGCCTGCATTCCAATTCAAAATTCAAAAATTTCTTTCCATAATATACAGTGTGTAGTTTACATGTAGTAAAATATTGTTAAGCGCAAAGAAAGCTACTAGCTTGCCTGAGCAGTTCGGGCATACTAATCATAATGCTTACACATTACTTAAAACCAGACACAGGTTATGGAATTTTAATTCAAATCAAATCAAATAAAATTTTATTTCTTTGCAAGTAGTACATTGAGATTATGTATTTACAGTAATGAGTTGCAGTGCAGAGAGAGCCTCTGTCATGCCTAGGCATTATGGGCAGACTTAATTTAATGGCTTACTGACTACTTAATACTAAAGAAATTTATCATAGTTTAAGTTGTACAATAGTTCTATTTATAAATGAATCTAATTTATATAAAAATGAATCTAATTATGTATATTAATAAAAAGAGGGTGGCAAAAATTTAAAAATTAGTAAAATGTATAGTAGAGGGTTGCAAAAATGGAAATATATATACAGTGGACCCCCGGTTAACGATATTTTTTCACTCCAGAAGTATGTTCAGGTGTCAGTACTGACCGAATTTGTTCCCATAAGGAATATTGTGAAGTAGATTAGTCCATTTCAGACCCCCAAACATACACGTACAAACGCACTTACATAAATACACTTACATAATTGGTCGCATTCGGAGGTGATCGTTATGCGGGGGTCCACTGTATATAGTACATGTATTATAGTTAGTACAATTTGTAATAATACAGTTGCAAGTGTGTATTAATATGCAGGTCGGCCATTACTAATCCAGCATCATTGGGACTTGTAGTGTGACGCATTAGTTTGCCGGATTGCAGACTGGTTAGGTTAGAACACACTTAATTAACTTACTAATAGAGAGACTTTCTGCTACATCTTCCTCATTTTCATCACTGCTTTCTCCTGCACTGGCTTGCTGGTGTGGATTTACAACCATCTGCACAATTTCTGACTCAGTATAATGATGAAATTTGAAATTATGCTAGCTTAAATTAGTGCTGGATTACTGATGGAACAGGATAACTGATTGCCGGATTAGCGATGGCCGACCTGTACTTAAGTATTTTAGTGTTCTTAAGTTAACTGAGATTTCTTGAGTAGTTTGGGATTTCTTGAGTAGTTTCAAGCTGGTTCTAAGATTTCAGGCATAATATAGTGTTGGTATAGTTAAGTTTGGGATATGAGGTGATTTTTAGTTATAGCCTGAAATATATTGGTTAAACAAGGGATCTTTTGCTGGTTCAGGCAATGAATTCCAGATCTTGGGACCCTTTATGTGCATTGCATTTTTGCATAGGGTGAGATGGCCACGAGGGATGTCAAAGAGAGTTTTGTGCCTTGTGTTGTGTCTATGTGTTCTGTTGTAGCTATCAAGGAAAAGTTTGAGAGGAGGGTTTGTATTAGAGTTTAACCCTTTGACTGTTTTGGTCGTATATGTACGTCTTACGAGGTACCGTGTTTGACGTACATATACTCATAAATTCTAGCGACTTCAAATCAAGCAGGAGAAAGCTGGTAGGCCCACATGTGAGAGAATGAGTCTGTGTGGTCAGTGTGCACCATATAAAAAAAAATCTTGGAGCACATAGTGCACAATGAAAAAAAAACCCAACCGTTTTTTTTTTAATTAAAATGCCGACTTTGTGGTCTATTTTCGTATAGTATTTATGGTTGTATTCTCATTTTCTTGGTCTCATTTGATAGAATGGAAAACATATTATAGAAATAGAGGTGATTTTGATTGGTTTTACTATAAAAAGAACCTGGAGATGGAGCTCAAAGTAGGGGAAATGTTTGATTTTTGCCGATGTTCAAAAGTAAACAAATGATGTCGTTGTCCAATAAATGTCCAACTAGCCATTATAATATGCAGTCATGAATGGGTTGACATTATTTGTACAATTATTACAACATTGCAGTAGTCTGCATAACAGTAAATCTTCTATTTTTTGTTTGAATAAAAATTCGAAATAGAAAGCAAGAGTAATATCAGAGGGGCCTGGAGACATGTCTGATGAACAAAGAAAATGTTATTTTAGAGCCAGGAATGTCTGCATTGTTCATTCTGAACCTTATTTTGAAATTGTCATATTTAATTTTCGTGAAATTGGCCAAATTGCAAATTTCTGACCACGTTATTGGGTAGTTGAAATCAGTAAATGGGCAGTTTCTCATACTCAGTCGATAGAAAAAACGGAGTTCTAAAGAAATAGCTATGCGTTTGGTCGAACAATGGAATTAGCCGAAAATAGGGCTCAAAGTGGGCAAAATAGCCGATTTGTAAATATCGCTGAGGTCGCTAACTTCGCGAGAGCGTAATTTTGTCAGTTTTCCATCAAATTTCGTTTTTTTTGGTGTCATTACAATCGGGAAAAGATTCTCTATCATTTCATGAGATTTTTTTTTTTTTTTTTTTTGAAATTTTGCAACACCAGGAGACACCTCAGGATTGGGGGTTGTGACAGTCAATGGGTTAATGTCCTACATATATAGTAGGCACAGTAATCAGTGTGCATATTTTGTATATTATGTAAGTTCAAACCCTTGAAGTGGAAAGTAGGTGTGTTGTCTGATCATTCACATAGCAGCATTTTGTTGGATTATTAGTGATTTAAGGTGATAGGTAGTACTGTAGTAGAATTCCCAAGCACAAATACTATTATAGGTGAGGTTAGGGTAAATTAGAGAGTGGTATAGTGTAAGTAGTGCTGTTTGGGGTACATAGTACCATATTTTGGAAAGGATGCCTGCTGTTTTGGAGACCTTCTTGGATCTTGGTCTGAAGTTTAAGGTTGCAGTCAAGGTGGAGACCAAGAAATTTGCCTTCTGCCATTTATCAGTATGTTTAGCTATACAT